AACACATTTGACTTTGAAATTATTGCTTTCTTAAGTCAAAATGGTTGAAGATCACCAAGTTCAAATGGTCCATCTTATTACTATTAAAGTAATAATGCAAAACAAAAAATACTATTAAAGGGGCTTTCAAGTCAGAAAAATTTACAAAACATTCAAATAGACAAGCCTGGTCTTTAAAAAGGAAGAAGAAAGCAAACTCTGATACTTATCAAGGTAAATGTATATCTTTAAATATCAATAGAATCTGCATAATGGCTAACTTTATTACCAGAGAATCTAAGACTTCATGCCCTTACAACAGATTGTGTAATTTTCTTTTTTTAAAACTTTTTTGATTTAATCTTTATTGCATTTTTTCCATTACACTTTAGTCCCTTTATACCTTACTTCCCCCAGCAATCACCACACTGTTGTCCATGTCCATGAGTCCTTTTTCTATTTTGTTCAATCCCCCCAACTCCTAACCTCCCCTTCACCCAAACTAGCTCTCATCTGCTCTCCAAGTCTATCTGGGTTTTGCTTGTTAGTTCAGTTTCTTTGTTAGATTCTGCAAATGAGTGAAATCATATGGTATTTGTCTTTCTCTGACTGGCTTATTTCATTTAGCATAATGTTCTCCAGATCCATCCATACTGTCGCAATGGGTAAACTTTTCTTTTTTACACCTAAATAGAATTCCATTGTATAAGTGTCCCATACCTGTTTTATCCACTCATCTATTGATGGACACTTGGGCTGCTTCCATATCTTGGTGATTGTAAATAACACTACAATGATCATAGAGGTGCTTATGTTCTTTTGAAATAGTGTTCTGTGTTCCTTCAGATATATACTCCCAGAAGTGTGGTCACTGGGTCAAAAGGCAGATCCATTTTTAATTTTTTGAAATTAAAATTAATTTCAAAATTAATTAATGTGTAAATTAATGTGTAAAGCAGTGGCTGCATCAATCTGAATTCCCACCAACAGTGCAAAAGGGTTCCCTTTTCTCCATATCCTCATTAGCACTTGTTGTTTGTTAATTTATTGATGCTAGCCATTCTGACATGTGTGAGATGGTATCTCATTGTGGTTTTATTGTATTTCTTTGATGATTAGTGACATCCAACATCTTTTCATATGTCTATTGGCCCTTCATATGTCATCTTTGGAGAAATGTCTATTCAGGTCCTTTGCCCCTTATAACCTGAATCAGCGAACATGTTCTCCCATTCTGTGGTTGTCTTTTTATTTTATTGATGAATTTCTTTGTTATGCCAAAAATTTTAATTTGATGTAGTCCCATTTGTTTATTTTTTTCTTTTGTTTTTCTTGCCTGGGGAGATATATCCAATAAAAACATTTTACGAACAATGTCCAAGATTCTGCTATGTTTTCTTCTAGGAATTTTTATGGTTTTGAATCTAACATTTAATTCTTTGATCCATTTTGAATTTATTCTTGTATGTGGTGTAAGAAGTTGGTCTAGTTTCATTTTTCTGCACATATCTGTCCAATTTCCCCAACACCATTTATTGAATAAACTATCTTTAGCTCATTGTATGTGCTTGCTTCCCTTTTTGAATATTAATTGACTACAAAGGTGAGGGTTTATTTTTGGACTCTCTATTCTGTTTCTTTGATCTATGTGTCTGTTTTTATGCCAGTACCAGGCTGTTTTGATTACTATGGCCTTATAGTATAGTTTGGTATTAAGTAACATGATTCTGCCAACTTTGTTCTTCTTTCTCAGTATCACTATTGCTATGCAGGGCCTTTTGTAGTTCCATATAAATTTTTTAAATATTTGTTCTAGTTCTGTGAAATACACCATTGGAATCTTGATAGGAATTGCAATGAATCTAGAGGTTGTTTTGGGTAGTATGGACATTTTAATGATGTTAATTCTTCCTAACCATGAACATGGTATGTGCTTCCACTTATTTGTATTTTCATCTATTTCTTTCTTCAGCTTCTTATAATTTTCTGTGTACAGATATTTTACATCCTTGGTTAGGTTTATTACCAAGTATTTTATTCTATTTGAAACAATTGTATATGAGATTGTTTTCTTAATTTCCTTTTCTGTTAGTTCATTATTGGCATATAAAAATGCACTTAACTTATGGATATTAATTTTGTATCCTGTTATTTTGCTGAATTCCTTTATCAGCTCTAGTAGTTTCTTGTGGAATATTTGAGATTCTTTATGTATAGTATCATGTCTTCTGCAAAGACAATTTTACTTCTTTCTTGTTGATTTTGATGTCTTTTATTTCTTCTTCTTGTCTGACCAGTGGCTAGGACTTTCAGTACTATATTGAATAAAAGAGGTGAAAGCAGGCATCCCTGTCTTGTTTCCAATCTTAAGGGGAACACCTGTTTTTACCCATTGAATATGATGTTGGCAGCATGTTTGTCACATGTGGTCTTTGTTATGTTTAGGTATGTTCCCTCTATGCACACATTGTAGAAAGTTTTTATCATAAATCGTGCTAGGTTTTAGCAAAAGCTTTTTTTGCATCTATTGATGTGATCATGTGTTTTTACCCTTCATTTTGTTTATGTTGTGAATCATATTTATTAATTTTCAAATGTTGTACCAACCTTGCATTTTGGGAATAGATCCCACTTGATCATGGTGTATGATCTTTTTGGTGCATTGCTGTATTCAGTTTGACAATATTTTGTTGAGGGTTTTAGCATCTATGTTTGTCATGGATATTGGCCTATATTTTTTTTCTTTGTAGTGTCTTCATCTGGTTTTGGAATTAAGATAGTGCTGGCCTTGTAAAATGAGTTTGGGAGCCTTTCCTCATCTTGAATTTTAAAAACTAGTTTGAGGAGAGGTGTTAGTTCTCAGAATGTTTGGTCAAATTCACCCAGGAAGCCATATAGTACAGGACTTTTGTTTGTTAGGAGTTTTTTGATTATTGCTTCACGTTCGTTAGGTGTAATCTGTCTATTCAGATTCTCTAATTCTTCCTGATATATATTTGGAAGGTTTTATGTTTCTAGGAATGTATCCATTTCATCCAGTTTGTCCTGTTAGTTGGCATATAATTGTTCATAATATTTTATTACAATTTTTTGTGTTTCTTTGGTGTCAGTTGTTATTTCTCCTCTTTCATTTCTGATTTTATTTATCTGGGTCTTTTCTCTTTTTTTCCTTGATGAGCCTGGTTAAATGTTCATCAGTCTTGTTTACCTTTTCAAAGAACTAGCTCTTGGATTTGCTGATCTTTTGTATTGTTTTTTAGATTCTATTTCATTTATTTCTGCTCTGGTCTTTATTATTTCTATCCTTCTACTCACTTCAGGCTTTGTTCTTCTTTCTCAAGTCCTCAAATGTGAAGTTAGATTGTTTATTTGAGCTTTTTCTTGTTTTTTGATAGGCTTGTATGCCATGAATGTCCCTCTTAAGATTGCTTTCCCAGTGTCCCACAGATCTAGGATTGTCGTGTCCTCATTTTCATTTGTTTCAAGGTATCTTTTAATTTCTTCCTTGATCTCATTGTTAATCCATTCATTGTTTAGTAACATGTTATTTAGCATCCATATCTTTGCATGTTTTTCAGTATTCTTGTGATTGATTTCTAGTTTCATAGCATTGTGGTCAGAGAAGATGCTTGATATGATATCAATCTTCTTATATTTATCGAGACTTGTTTTGTGTCATAGCATGTGGTCTATCCTAGAAAACATTTGATGTGCACTTGAAAAGTATATATATTCTGCTGCTTTGGGGTGAAATGCTCTGAGGATATCAATTAAATCCATTTGATCTAGTGTGCCATTTAAGGCCACTGTGGTCTTGTGATTTTCTGCCTGGAAAATCTATCCATTGAAGTCAATGAAATGTTAAAAAATCCCCAACTATGTCTATATTTCTGTTGATCTCTCCCTTTATGTCCCTCAAGGTTTGCTTTACATATTTAGTTGCTCCTATGTTGGGTGTGTAAATGTTTGCTAGGGTTATATCCTCTTGTTGGATTGTTCAAAAGCTTTAAAGAGAGTAGTATAAATTATTTAGCTACGTTCTTTGTAAACATTAGGTTAGATGGACAACCAAGTAGAGAAAGGAGGGCTATCAAACCTTCTCTGCTTCTAAATACCCCGGACCATGGCACTAGCAAAAATAATTCTCCCTCTCCTGCAGACAAACCCCTATCCAGTGTATAATGTTAGGGGAAAATCCCAAAAGTCTAAATTTAGGATTGACTTTGGGAACCGACACATAGCCTTTTTTAAATTTATAAGAGCTTGAATAGGAGAAACTTATAAACATGGGTAAAGCAGCTGCTCCCAGTGGTGGCCAACCAAAAAGGAACCACTGCCCTCACAGAACAAAGTTTCTTTTTAAAAAAGATTAATAGAACAAGTTAATAGCAATATCAAATGACAGGTAGCTGTGTAGAACTCTGGAGAGAACAATATTTCACTAAATTAATAGAAAAGTTAAAAAATAACATCAGAAAATCATTACATTTTATGTATTTATTAACTTCTTTATAAGGGCATGACATTTGTTATAGAGTGGCATTTCAGTTTTGGGGGTAGTCAGTGAAGCATGAAGTTATAGAGAGTTGAACAGTCCCAAAAGGATCAGCAGTCACAGGGAGTTCAACATCTCCTGCACGCCTTTGCTGCTGAAGCCATATTGCTTCCCAAAAGTGAGTTTCCCTACACCCTACCCCAAATGTAACATGAGTCCTTCTATTTTGTGCAATAATATTTTGCAAACATTTTGGACCTTTGTACCATAATGGTTTGGAGCCTGTGGGCACAGCAATAGTATATTCCACAGATGCCTAGCACAATGAACACAGACAAAATAAGACCCAATAGAGCTCCTTTTCAAGGTAGTGATAAACACTGAAATAAAGTGGCAGAGGATTAATTTCTAACTGCTAGATAGTTGACATTTCATTCATCACTTGGTTCATAGTAAGGGATCTATTATAATGGTTATCAGGAATATACATACAATAGTCAGTATGTATAAAGGTACAGGCTCCTACCTGGACAGCTGGAAGTACATATCTTCCTTAGGAGTTCATTGACGACATCGCTGTTTATGTCCTGGACAGTTTGTATGTAGTACACCATTGTCTAAGTCCCTGCATGGTAGCTTTCTGGGTTGCTTTTTTGCTAGAGTATGCTTGCTGCAGGCCAGTGGCAGTGTTGACACGTGTCAAAGCATATTTGCAGTTCTGAGACAGCTGAAAGGGTCCCGCGTAATCTACCTACCAGCTCACGGGCAGTGCTTTTGCCCTTGCTATTTGTGCTAAAGACAAAGGTGACCTTTTGTGTTCGAGAGAATAAGGAGTACACTCCTGGCATGTCTTTGAGTTATCTAGATACAAAGTACCCCAGCGTGGATGACTCCCAGTGCCCTGTCATTGGGATGCCACAGGTGAGCTGGGAACCAGTCACATCCATTTAAGCTCCACTATAATACAGCAACCTGCTGCTCATTCTGGGATGAGACTTAGGCCAGAAGACCTGTGAAGGTGAGATGGAAATGAGGTCTGAGCATGTACCCTGTCTCTGTTCTGTAATGACTTACTTTCCCCAGAGACATTCAAGTTTATTTTTTGGTTTAGGACTTGTAAGAATATTCTAATCTGAGACCAAGAGAATAAATATTTGGTTTTTTACAAGCTCATCATTTTACATGCCTTAACACTATGCCAAATGTGTACTGGGAGTAAAGTAGTTAAGTTATCTTTGTTCATTTAACTTGGCCTCTATTAATTTATTTAATGTTTGTTACTTTAAATGCAAAAACAGAATTGGTCAAGTCAAATGACCCAGTTTGGCAGAATACTTAACTATTCCAGCAAACACATTGTTCCTAACGTAAGTCCATTCTGAAGTTCACAGAGGTTCAACTTCTGAACAAGTTGAAATGAAAGCCTAGCCAGAAGTGATGGCTGATTGGCAGGTTCAGAGTGAGCAGGATGAATAAAAAGCAGCAGTAGAACATCTGGGAAGGTCAGTGATATCACCCCTCTAGAGCCAAACCTCAGTGCTTCTCAGCGTGTTTTCATCATGAGTGGTTGTCCGTTTTTAGGAAATGCCTTTAGGTAAGTATTTACCTCTATTCTAAATATAGTTAAGCTCTTAGAAATTCTAAATGTGAACACTTTAATTTCCAAATTTCAAGAGGATTGAAAACTGTCACCCTTATTCCCTTGTTTAATAATCTCTTTTTAAATAATTAGCAGTAAGAGAATTTTAATCATTCATATTATTAGTTACTTTGCTTTCTCAAGATCTGTTTTTTTCATCAATTATGTAATCTGCAGGCATCCTTCTGAAAAACTATCTTTAGAAGACAGTGAAGAAGACAAATCACAAGCTGGTATAAATAGAGCCAGCAAAGGAGGACTTATCTATGGGAACTATCTGCATGTAAGTAGCTGAGTATCTTAAAGTATTTAGCTTCCATTTTTGGGCACTTTATTGTCTTATTTTTTCCTCAGTCATCAAATAGTTTTCTGGACCTAATAATACCGTTTTTTTATAAAAATTTGTGCTTTTTGACTTTTGTTAGAACAATTCAAGAGACTCTTATAAAAATCCATCTCTCCAACAGAGGTACAGTAAAAGCAAAGAACGCAGAATCTGAGTGGAAGAGTATAAATGATCAAATTCATGTAGATAACTGGAAAGCACTGTACAACTTGAATAGTAAGATAAGGTCAATAAATCCCAAATGATTCCAGAAAAAATTCTCTTTTGTATCTCTTCTATAAAGTAGAAATGTTTAAGGCAAATATGTTCTTGATATCATTAACAAATAAAAGAGGGATGATACAAATGAGATATTGGACATTATTCTGGCATATGTTTTAGCTTGTTTGTCTTCCTTGTTATTTAAGAAGTGGGATGATTAGAGCTTGTGATGCCTTCATCAATACAGTTCAAAGGATGAGCTGATAAAGAATGTTAAGGTCTTCTCAGATGAGTCTCTTTAGGGGAATGGAGGAATGGGAGTTTCACAGTCAGCGAAGCAAGTTATCAAGCTTTTATCACACTTGTTTCAAGAGATGGAAGAACTATGGCTTCTCAATGAGTATACTAGCATTTGTTATAATAGAATCCTACCAAATATAAAATTCTTCACAAAAAATAAAGGCCATAAATTCAACTCACTGTTTACAATGAGACTCATTAATTGTTTAAAAAAAATAGAATGGAATCTGAGAATTTGAGAATTGGGTTATTTTTTCAGTATTATATTCTACTTCTTGTTAAAGTTGATAAAAACTAACTTTTGCAATTTCAAAATCAGTCACTTAATTTTTTTTAATTTTATTGCTATGTAATTGATATATAACATTGTGCTTGTTGAAGGTGTACAACTTATTGATTTGATGCCTTTATATATTTCAATACGATTATTGGTGCAGCATTTAGCTAGTATGTCTATCATGTCATATCATTACCACTATTTTTGGTGTGGTGAGAACATTTAAGATCTATTCTTTTAGCAGCTTTCAAGAATATAATACAGTGTTGTTAACTATAATCACTGTGTTATAAATTAGATCTCCATAACTTATTTATCTTATAACTGGAAGTGTGTACAAAATCAGTTTTTCTATTTTTTTATTTTAAGTTGGAAAAAATTTTGAAGGCACAGGAGCTTCAAAGTGAAATAAAAGGAAATAAAATCCATGATGAACACCTTTTCATCATAACTCATCAAGGTAAGTTGCACAAAAGTTTGGAAAATAACTATTCCACAGGCATTTCCCATCAATAGTGAGGAGAGTTACAATTCTTTTAAATATAAAATGGTGCAAGAGCAAGGAATTTGCTTTGTTAAAAATTTGCTCAAGATACTTTGCTTTCAGACAAATTCTCAGAGAAACTTTTGCTGAGATTTGTAAGTCTTCTTAATATTACTTCACTGTTAATTGGATCAGGTTGAATTTTTAGGCTTTGTTTTCGATCCAAGACATTTATCTTGGAATTGAAAAAGAATTTTCAAGCAGAGATGTTACTATTTTTCAACTTGAAACTTTAAAAAACTGCTCTCAAGAAATAAATCGCTCAATTTTATTGTGACTTTACATACTCCCATATAAATCTGCTATTTAATAGAAATATAAATTTGTCTAAAATGTGTTTATCCTCTATAGACTTAAAACCTTTGTACAGTGTTATTGTTTTTTTATGTTTCAGTGACACTTTTCCTTGCTTTAATATTTCTTGTTTATTTCTGCTTTTGAAATGAGCTCTCAATTACAATATATCAAATTGCACTAAAAAATGCCAGCCCCTGGCACAGTATGGAGAAGCCCACAGATAAGGATAGATAGCAGCAGCAGGTGGCAAGAGGAAGGAAGTGATTGAGCAGTGGTTACAAATGTTCACAGGAAGCTAAAACTATCCAACAAGTTGTGCCCTAATGTTGGCACAAGTTAGATTAGTCTCTACCTTCATGGGTGGCCTCAGTGTATTTGGGTTCTACAGTTCCTTCCAGTTAAGAATTCCTGATTTGAACCAGTCACAGAGTGGCACTGGACCATCAATTAGTTTTTCAAAATGCTGTTGTAAGCCTGACAGATGTCCTGAGAGACTTCAGCAGCTCTACACTTCAGCAACAGCATCCGCTTGAGGTTTCCTGGCTGGGTATGTAGCTTAGCCAAGAGCCAAAGGTCATTAGTGAGCTTCAGAGATTGGTACAACATGTTCCATCCTTCCAAAATCCCCGTGGCAATAGTTGTTCTTTTACGACTTGCTAGAAATAGGGTTAGCATTTTGATAACATTCCCAAAACTGAAACTGAAGTTCATTCTTACTGGGAACATTCTTTCATGTTGCAAGGAAGACCCAACTCTCCATTTTCTCAACATCTACAAATAGCATATGGAGTGGGGTGTAGGAGACATCCATAGTGTTTTTCACAGCCACCTGCAGATTATTCAGATGTTCCATCTTCATGACTGGGCCTAAGGGTTGAGAGGCAGGCAGGAATCGAGGCTCTGGTCGGCATTGGCGGTGTGTGGCTGTCCAGGGGAGAGCTGCGGAGGACAACAAAGCTGTTCTTGTTAAAATGACAGCAAAGTCCCATGTGCTACAGAGCTTTGTTGGTGAAGTTCATTTCCATTGAGATGTGCCCTTGGTGATGAGTAAATGTTTCAGAAATTCCCAATCCTTTAGCCTTTATGGCAGGCTGCCAGCCACCCTTAGGAGCCACATTGCCATCAGCTGCCATGCCTGTCCCTGTAGAGAGTTCAAATCGATTGTTCAAACTGCTGCTGACCACAAAGCAGACGAAGGGGAAGGAGCAAAGGTTGCAGGCACTGATGATGGGATTGATGAAGAATTGTCCCACTGCCACCCCTGCTAAGGTCACTGCCAAGCAGACTATCTAGTCCTCCTCTCAAGAGATCCTCTACTCCAATACATGGAGGATTCTGTGGCGCATTGATTGGGGAACTGAGATCAAATTTAAAAGGTCCCCCGGAAGGCCACTTTGAGAAGGAACAGTGGCTGTTCCAGGTTGGTGGCAGCGGCAGTGCCAACATGGTCAGGGGTTTTTAATGTAGGAGTCCCTGATGTTGGGAGTTTAGAAAGTCTCTGAACTCTGAAATTGTATATAAACTTTTGTTAATATGTATCTTAAAGAGGTCCCTGACCCCAAAATATGAAGATTAACCCTAAGCCTAGCCCTAACCCCAACACTGTGCTAAGTACTAAGAGAAATAGATAAGTAAGGCAGTTTTAGATTTAGACTGTTCATAAGCTTGTCCTCCCATAATATTCTAAGTTCCTAGAACCCGAACTTTGTCATATACATTAGGTTAGTACACATTGAATTTTCAGTTTATAGATGAAGTTGGGCATCACTTCTCCTTTGCCAAATACCTCCATCTTCCAATGGAAAGGTAGAATTAGAGCATGTGCTATATCCTAAAAGATGTAAGCAATATAGTTCTGAGAGAAATCAGTATAATAATAACAACTATAAAGCATATAAATAATACCCATAACATATTAAAACATTCAATAGAAGGGAGCTATTATAAGTTTATCACTAATATCTGGTTATAGCATAAAATAGGGCTATATTGATATTTATTAATTTTTTAATTACATTTTTATTTCTTTCAATGTATTAACCATGTCTTTTATATAATTATGGTCAAAGAGGCTCCTAGAATTTTTCAGCTGATAATGATTTTCTCATTGCAGCTTATGAACTCTGGTTTAAGCAAATCCTCTGGGAATTAGATTCTGTTCGTGAGATCTTTCAGAATGGTCATGTGAGTTATTGTCATTTTCACAATATCGGCTTCATACCCTTTTTGGAGAATATAGAAAATATTATTAATGAGAAAAATTTAAAACCAAATAGTGAAATAACTACTTAATGAAAAAAAGTTTTCCAGTGGACAAGAGCTTAGTCATGTTTTCCCAGTGCCATTTCTATCCTGGAACTTCATGTTGCACTCAAGTTCCTTTCAAATTTCAGTTTCAAACCCCTTGTTTGGAACATCTTTTTTTTTGTTCTTGTTGCCCTTAAGAATAGTTGTTTTAGATGATGGTAGATTGCAGAATAGCTAATATTCAGCATTTAATTAATAAGTACCAGAACTGTATTTCTGATGAATATTTGTTAGGGGAAGATAGGAATAATAATGAGGAAAGTAAATAGGAAGAGGAAGAGGAGGAGGTAGGAAAAGAGTAGCAAGAGGAAGAAAAAGAGAAAAGAGCTGAGGAGAAGGGGAGGACAAGGAAGAAAAGATCAAGGAAGAGCAGAGTGGGAGAACAGTGGAGCTTCGGGTGATGGCAGGAGTCTGAACTGCACTTGATGGCCTCCCTCCCTGCTTCCTGCTCCCACAAGCCTCCCAGACACAGGGCACAGCATCAGGTGCTCTACCACGGGGCCCCGCTCAGGATGGGCTGGGAAAGAGACAACACTCATACGCAGACAGTGCTCTTTATATGCGAATACAATTCCCTTTTATGTCAATGGCAACTTGTCCCTCTGGAAAGAACAGATTTACCCACATGTTGCTTACTCCTCACCTGGAACTTTCTATATCACCTTAATTTGTATCCCTCAAAGCAAACTTACAGGAAAAGTGTTTTAAAATTAGTAGGTGCTGTGTTCCAGAATTTACTCCTAACTTGCTTTCATTTAATTTTCTGTTTTTAAAGAAGGAAAAATGATTCTAATTTTGCAGGCATTCCTTGCACACAGTTACCATTAGTTCAACATATTCATACAAGAGGGACCCCCCAAAGTCCAGAGTTTTTTTATAAAAAATTGTATATTTATTCTTACATGTTTAAACTTCAGTCACCTTCCAAGCACTCTCCATTTGTTGCAAGACACCCACTGAGACTTTTTTCCCCCACTGCTCCCAACAGTTTTGGAACTCAGCAGTTTTGATGCCTTTTAGTGCTTCTGCCATTTTGTTTCATTTCTTCCACATCAGCAAAACATTTCCCTTTGAGGACTTTTTTTTTTAACCCAGAGAAACAAACAAAAAAAAACAGTTGCTTGGGGTGAGATCATGTGAATAGGGAGGGTGGGACATGGGGGCCATACTGTCTTAGGTCAAAAAATGCTGAACACAGCACAGTATGGACAGATGGGCTCCTAAATCACCCATCTTGAAATGGGCAAACATGTTGAAAGAGAGTCTTCAAAAAAAAAAAAAACAAAACATTCACTGAAGCCTAATGCAGCCTCTCCCAACACCACCAGCTGGAACACTGATACAGATGGGTTCCTAGAACACTCACCTAGTGGGGGAAACCTGTACTACAAGGGGCCGGCCCTCCAGAAAATAATTCCTGTTTTTTGGAGTCCCCTCTCCTACCTACAGCAAATTTTAGTTCCAATGTTCCTTTTTGAAATAAAGATAAAATTAATAGGAATATACTGTTTGTAGACTATTTTTTATCTTCTAAAATCTAGAATCGATTACTCAGTGTTTTCTTTCTTAACCATCAGGTCAGGGATGAAAGAAATATGCTTAAGGTTGTTACGCGAATGCATCGAGTGGTGGTAATCCTTAAACTACTGGTACAGCAGTTTTCTGTTCTGGAAACGATGACAGCCTTGGACTTCAATGATTTCAGGTGTGCACCTGCAGCTTTGTGATAATGCAGTGGGGTTTACCTTCTCACTGCAGGATGGGTCAAAAGATAACTTGTATGTTGTATGACAAGAGGAGTCTGTTCTACTGACACTTTGTCGCTATGACCACCTGGGACTCTTAATCACAAAGCATTTGAGAAATTAATAAAACATTTCATCATTTACTTTTACATAAAAGCATAATATGATCAATTAATTTCAATTCATCATTGTGCCCTGATTTTATCCAAAAAAAAATTTAGGCCTTTTTATGGTCTACAGAAGTAAAATGCCTTATGTGATGCATATAACTAAATTTCTAAAAAATTAAAAACTAAAAATCGAAAAGAAACAAGTGATATATAAAAAGAGGACTTCAGCAAAATTGTCAGAATAAATTATGGATTGAGTTATAAAGTTTAGCTCAACATTTTTAGGCAGCCAAAGTCATATTCATGTATATATCAGAAAAAACTTTTTTTTAATACCAAATTTGAAAGTAGATTTTCCTAGAATATTAGGTGCATTTGATAGTGTAATATATAGTCCAACATGTTTGACAATCAAAGGAAATGTAGCAGAATTCTGTTGTGGTGAATTTAAAAAATTATTGTCTTAGTACCAATCAGATGAAGGATGCTTACAGAGATGTAAGAGTTTGGGTGGCTACATAGGGTAAGAATAACAACGTTTTGATTGCTTATTTTGGCCTGTGGAACATCCCTTTCATTTTGCTTGTAGTATTTCATTGGTGATCATAATAATTGTAGGTAGTGACATCGATAATAATATTTAAAAATATGTTTTAAGAGGGATTGAATATTTATAAATTATAAGAATATATTAGCACTATTGAAAAGTATATTGTTCAATGCCCACCTGTCTTTAAGAAAAAATTTAGTACACATATGTGACATTTTACAAACTATACAAACATTTCAACTTTGAATTGATTGACTGGTATCACCAATGATACGCAAGTAGCTCATTTACTTTATTTTAGTAACATCCAAACCATAAGCCCAACTCTAGGCAGTTGTTTGTCTTTGTTCTTGATGATATCTTGGGGAGTAAAACTGAAAGCCTCTCACAATAGATCATTGCAGTGATTTAAAATGTCAAAACATTTTTTTTCTTTCTCTTCCCTTCCACATTTATTCTCAAAGAGAGTACTTATCTCCAGCATCTGGCTTTCAGAGTTTACAGTTCCGACTACTAGAAAACAAGATAGGTGTGCTTCAGAGTTCAAGAGTACCTTACAACAGAAGACATTATCGTGATAACTTCAAAGGAGAAGAAAATGAACTGCTACTTCAGTCAGAGCAGGAAAAAACACTTCTGCAACTAGTGGAGGTACATGCTCAAATACTGTTTCTAAGGTCTAAATTATACATCTTTTTTCTTTTATTTTTTAAAATTATATTTTATTGTTTATGCTATTACAGTTGTCTCAATTTTTCCCCCTTCGCCCCCCTCCACCCAGCACCCCCCACTCCCTCAGGTGGTCCCCATACCGTTGTTCATGTCCACGGGTCCTTGCACATGAATTCTTGGAGCATATAAGTTCTTTGGCTACTACGTTTCCTACACTGTACTTTACATCTTATTTAATTTAGCTTCCAGTAGATAAGAATTGAAAAACTCATATCAAAATTTGGTTACCTTAATTATAAATAAGACCAGAATAAATTTATAAAAAGACTTAAATTTGTATATTTAACTAATTAATTAAAATATTAAGAACTCTCTTGAGAATTTTAGAAATAGCTATATAACAATTATATGTTAATATTTAATAACTTTCTCATCTAATTAAAACAATCCTTTTAAATATTCTTACTAAGCAACATTTAATTAGCTGATTTTTAAACTAAGTATGGTTCATCATCTAGTGAACTTTAATTTCTTCAAAATATTTTGTAATCAAAAAATCCCACAAGTTGTGTTTCTGTCAGTTAAACTATATTACTTAGGTATATATTCTTCAGAATTTTTTTCTTTCATATTTTAATCCCCCATGCATCTATAATAGCTTTGGGAAATCATTAATGTTTCTTAATAAGTAAATTATTAAGTAAGTATTGTATTGCCTTGATTTCCTTTGCAGATGAAACTTTAGTGTATTATGAAGTTGGGTTAATATATATAATGTCATATAACAGTTTATAAAGATTGGGATAAAAAGAATCAGAAAGCTGGTTTCAAACCAAAAATAGATTAAGTGAGAACTCATAGAGATGCACAAATTAGGTTTTATTGCTGATTAAAAAGTCTTGCAGAGTATTAAAATAATTGAGTACTTAGTGGATTTCAAAGTTGCTGATTATACCATGCTCCTGCATTAAGAAGAGATCATATAGTATATATTATAATTTCTTCAGGTATTAAGACATTAAATATTTTGAAAATAAACCAGAGACTTCATCAAAACAACATTTATATATTTTAATATATAACAAAATTGTGATTTCTGTAATAATATGTTTATTAATAAAGAGTAAACATCAGTGATATGATTTCCTTAAAGATTAAGAGATGAAATATAATAGATTTTTATTTTTTAAATGAAGAAATTGAGGGGAAAGAAAATATTTACACACAAAAACTTTATTGCATATATTTCTCCAAACCATGAAAATTTTCTGTTTCATGTTCATAAATATTAGCTATATCATACAGATTTAAAATTTTATAATATATTAACTTAAAAATGTTTACTTAAGGCATGGCTGGAAAGAACACCAGGTTTAGAGCCACAAGGATTTAACTTCTGGGGAAAGTTGGAAAAAAATATTGTTAAAGGTCTGGAAGAAGAATTCACAATTATTCAGGTATTTATGATGCCGTATGTAAATATAAGTTTACTATAAAAATACTGGGAATTTTTAAAAATAATTATATACTTTTCCCTTAAACTTTCACTTTTCTTATATTTTTTTTGTTTCATATTTGCATCTTCTTGGAATATATTACATGGTTAATTTTACTTTATTTACATATAATAAAATTAAGAAGTTTATTGCAGGCGAGACTTTACCTTTGATAAATAAATGACATTAATAGACCTTTTTTATTTCTATTGAAAATTCCAGATTATGACCACTTCTGGATAGAAGTAGGCTCACAAAGACCCAGTCAACCAACTATACTTAATCATCGAATTTTCCCTTGGCTCCATTTTCTGGGTTCTTCCTTGTGGTTCTCAGACAATGTTGTTTCTCACTTAAAATACGATTGATTACTCATTTCCTTCAAATTACAGGCCCCCTTCGTTTCTTCATGATTGACTGTCTTAAAGAGTTGTTTTAATTCTATGTCTTGAGAGGCTATGTCAGGTAGTAGTTAATACAGGGACTTTGAAGTCACATTGCATAGGTTTAAGTTTCACCTCCACTTCTTAATTGTGTGACATTGAATGTCTTCTGTGACTTCTCTTTGATTCACTTTCATCATTGATAAAATAGAAAATAAGAGTATCTACTTTATAGGAATATTGAGAGCATTAAATTAAATTAATATTTGTAAAGTGTTTTAGAACAGTGGTGAGCATAATTATTTCTTTTTTTTTTCATCTAATCTTCAACACGACCCAGTCTGTCATCTTATCCTATATTTCAAAAATGACCTCCATGTACATAAATCCAATAGCCATTTTTTTATCTTCACTTTTCTTGAGCAAACAGTGACATTCAGTACTAATGACTACTTATCCTTTCTTGAATACAAGCCATCCACCCTGGATTTGGTACACAGTATTCTGTCTTCATCTTATTCTCTGGTCCCTATTTCTCTGTCTCCTCTACTGCCTCCTTTTTCTGCCAGACCAATAAATGGAGGGATTTCTCAAGGCTGCATTAGCTTACAGCCTTTGCATCCTTTCTCTGTACTATTTCACGAGATTAACTCATTTATACCCACTACTTCAATACCTACTTATACACCAATGATTCTTAAACATGTACCTCCAGCACAGATATCTCCTTACATTTAAGATAATATATTTAACACCTTAATTTATATTGCTCCTGGTCCTCTCAAAAACAAACTGATTAAAAAAAAAACCCTAAAAAAAGTTTTCCTTCCATCCACTCTCGTATCAACTTGGTCTTTTCCATTTTTTTTCTCCTATAAACTGTCTAGTTTGTCAAGTCAGACACCTACAATTGGTCTTTGGCAACTTCCTCTTTCCTAGCCACTTCAAGTTATCATGACATACTGTTGACTTAACCTTCAAAATAGCTCTCAAGTATCTCTTTTTAATCTACCACCACCCATTAAGTGCAGATTGTCATTGTTTTTCACCTGGACTAAAGTAATATTCCTTTAACTATTTTACAAGGCTCCTCAATATGGCTCCATTTCAATTTACTCCTCACACTGCAGTCTGAACAACCTTTTCAAAGTGCAGATCTACTTACATGAAACTCTTTGATATCTTCTCATTGTTTCAGCATAACAATAAAAATCTTTAGCATAGGCATTTCATAATCTCATGTGGGCCAACCATACTAATTTCCTTTAAGCTGAACTTAGTTTTTCTAATTTACTACCACATCCTTCTATGAGGTAGTCCCTGGGCTTGGAATAGTCTCCCCCAGATAACTCCCTTTCATTCTCCAGGCCTTGGCTCAAGGAAAACTTCAGGAAGGTCTTTCCTGACCTCCGCACTACTGTAATTTATCATGGCACTATGCTGCTCCCGTTTACCACTGCATGGTATGGGACACTCCTGCGTGTGCCTGGTCACAAGTCAATGCTCAGGTGGTTATTTGTTCTATATCTTATTCTCGCCAGATAATATATTAAGATCAGGGGACTACAAGTATTGCTCGTAATTTTATTTATCACCTGAGCATTACATTTGCTAAAAAATGAAGATTTAATTGGCAATAATGGGCAGACAAGTTTTTACAGTTTGGTTTTTGTGAAGATAATTGGGTTAACTCATTTTTGCTGCAACTTAATTAATTGAGTTGTAGTAGAGCATGGGCTGTAGGCAGAAAAGAACTTTTCAAACACATTAATAGCTATAAAATAAATAAAAATATAAGGGTGAAATTTAGCTAAGAAATATTTACTGAATTTAATGCTGACTATGGAATTTCAGTAGTGTTTCTAGTTTTCCTGACTAGGAATTCTTAACTTTTCATAACTGGAATTACTTTACTTACTGTGTTAAATAATTTCTGTCAAAAAAGTAGATCATTATTGATTACTTGTATCTACTAATGCTCTCTTGAATCCATTTCTCATGATACTTATGAAAAAGAATCTTTGAGATTAACCCATCACTTAAACTGAAATAGAAGGATAGAATGAATTAGTGACTGTGAAGAAAATTCCTTCTTATAAGCCATAATTTCCAAGTTGTAATATTAGATAAAATGATAAATATTCCAAGTACAACCTTTCTGCATCTGGCAAATCTACTTCTTACATACAATGTTTTCTAGAGTAAGAACCTACTCTCTCTCATGAAAATATTAATGTAGTATTTCCCCTAAAGGCTAAAGAAGAGTCAGAGGAAAAAGAGGAACAAATGGCTGAATTTCAGAAACAAAAAGAGGTGTTACTCTCCTTATTTGATGAGAAACGTCATGAGCATCTCCTTAGTAAAGGTAAGTATTTTATTCTTAAAGATTGTTTCCTGGCACTTTACTACTGTGACATCAAAAGATCAAACCCTACTTGGGGCAAATAAAATGAAAATTGATATTCCGCATATAGAAACAAGAACTAGTTAATGTCATCTATTATATTAACAGATAATATTAATGTTAATATACAATTATATATAATATATTCATAGATAATGTTATCTATTGCAAAGACATTGGTAGAGTCTTTCATAATATGTCAGATACGAGGGATACCAAGATATATTGAAAATGGTTTTTCAAGTAGTTCATAACCTAATAGGGACAAGAATAAGATAGTCATGTAATTGTAAATACTACAGTAGCAGTGGGAGAGGGAAGGAGTAACTCCGCTGGAAGGGCAAGGGTGGCTTGGCTGATGAAATAAGTTTCCCAAGCTGACTAGGAAAAACACATGTTTAGAATCTTTGCATAATAAATACTGAGCTATTAGTTTTTGAAACTAATCGACCAATATAATAAAAATACTTTTTATTATTTATATAATAAAAATACTTTTATTATATAATCCCTTTCTTTGATCTGTTTGAAACTCTTGTGCTCATTTTTTATTTAGAAATTTTATTATAAAGGACCTATACATCTTTTGGAAAAAGGCAGAATGGAAGTAAAAATTAATTTTTAAAATATAAGCACAAGGCATAGCAATATATGGAATTCTATAAGCTTAGAGACAGTTAGCCTCAGTTTTCTATAGAACCTCAGTAAAGAATAGCAAAATCTTGTTTTTCTGCAGATAGACCAACACATATGAAATTTTATATGATTATACTCCTTGAAATCAAGTGATTTTAAGTAATTCAAGTAATTTTAAGTAAATTAGTAAAAAACACTTTCAAATGAAACTTGAAATTAGTCTTGTTTAACTTTTTAAAAAGTCATCATACTATTTTACTTGAAAAATACATTTCATCACAGAATTTAAGTAGTTTCTATATATATGGCTTTCCTAACATATTTAAAGGTTTTGGGAATTTCAGGGGTGTGTGTTTAACTCGCCTTTTAAATTCTAATATTAAAACAATGTTTCATATGATAGTCTTCTAATTTCAAGCTAAAATATAAACATTTTAAACAAAAACCTACACTGTTTTCTAAAACAAAAAAAAATTATTTAAGGTGATAGTTCCAAATTAATATGACTGCCCCGCGTGGCCTATTAAATGAAAACTTGCTGTGTATCTTGCAGGTGAAAGACGGCTGTCATACAGAGCACTTCAAGGGGCCTTGATGATCTATTTTTACAGGTAAAAGCAAATAAGAAAAGAAGCAGAAGTTAAAACTGAAGATTGAATATAGAAAATGTATCAAGTCTATAGCTTATAAATTGAAATTGTAGTTCTAATAAGTTAGTTTTGGAGGAAACCTTAGAAAGTAATTCATTGTGAAGTTTTATGAGGATTTCTCTCTTGTAAATAGTAAGTATAACTTTATCTCTGTAGTTGGTTAAAAAAAATCCCACACAAATCAATCAAATATTCTTCTAGGAGAAAAGACTCATGGACATGGATAAAAGTGTGGTGACTGCTTGGGGGAGGAGAGGTCTAAGGAGACTAAATAGTAATGGGAAAAAATACAATCAAGATTAAATTTTAAAAATTCTACTATTATGTGATATTGTGTCCAAAAAGACCACAGTGCTGTCTGCCTCAGAAATGGTCATGAAATGTTCTCTGTCTTTAAACAATGCTGTGGAGTTATCCTTGTTTCATAAAGGAAAGACAGAATGGACAAAGTGAAAACACCTTATAAACTGCCATTCTACTTATTCAGAAATTTCAAGTAAAATTATCTTCATTGTTTAATGACTTTGAGGTGTCCTTTATTTTTATTTTTTTAAATTTTATTTTAATTTATTTTTTCAAGTACATTTGTCTCTGCCTCCCCCCCACCACTTTCCCTTGCCCCCTCCCTCAGCTCTTCCCCTTTGGTTTTGTCCATGAGTCCTTGCTATATATATGTTCCTTGACTTTCCCCTTCCTTTCCCTTTCCCTGCCCTCCTCCTTCATATGCATGAAGATCTCATCTTCATGTTTCATGAATTAAATGCATCAGAACAAGGGAAAGCACACTGGCAAAAATATCTATGTTTACTGGATGTCTTACTAACTTGCATTTACTTAATTTGCAATCCCCTCAAATAGTTTTTCAGAATGACAACATAAACAAAAAATTTTGACCCTTTTCCTAAACTCTTACTAAATGTGTGCCACTTGAGCTTATGTATCCTAAGCAGAAAATGTACTAAAAGGGTTCAAAGATTAGATATATATTACACATTGATATATTTTAGAGGAAATAAATATGTAAGTTTTTGAGTTTTATTATCTTTGTTTGCAAAAAGGTTTTGACTATACTAGCTGGAAAGTCAGAAATAGTGTATGTGTCTGCCTATGAATGAAGATCAATGTTAGATGTGGCTCTGACTGGCTACTTCATTTATATTGCATGGAATAGCCTAGGCTCTTCACACAAATGTGGTAAGGTGAGCAGTAGTATTGCCATTTTTGAGATGAAGAAACTAAGACTAACTGAGTAATTCAGAGATACCATAGCTACTAAGAACAAAGTTGACATTTATTTACAGAGCCAACAGATTAAAAGAGTCATGCTCTTCCCAACACACTAGATTTGCTTGAATAGATTCCTTCTTATTTCTCATTTAGGGAGGAGCCAAGATTCCAGGTCCCTTTCCAGTTGCTGACTTCCCTAATGGACATGGACACGCTTTTAACCAAATGGAGATGTAAGTCCTCCTCCTCATCTCTACCCCTATAATTCTTCCCCCTTGACCTTATTCCTTTACCCCTTTTCTCCATCTGCCCTCCTTCCTGCTGTGTCTTTTCTTCCATCTTTTGAGTGTGAGTTGTTTTAAAAAAAATCAGCTTGACAGTTACTCTTCCCTAGGGTCTACTTATCCAACATACACAAAGGCACAATGCCTTGAGCCCACAGTAACTTTGGGAGCCCATAAAAATTGTATCTGCTAATCAGAATGAAAAAATAAATTTTAGGTCCTAAGAAATGTTTTACTATGTAATAGTAACTTATACATCTTTATGCCAATATAATTTAAAAATATAATTTTAATATTTTTTAATGGAGGAAGAGACCCATAAAGCAAAATGACCAGAGCTCACTAAAATTGTACTATGGCCCTGCTCTCCCCTATTGTGTCTGAAGACTAAATGTAAACATAGTTGGAGACAAATAGGATTTGGAACCAAGTGTGGTGCCAGGCAACCTGCTTGCCTCATCTGGCTCTCACAGGTGAATGTTCCATATGGCTAAGTGATAAGGCTTGAGCCTTTTTCTCAGAAGCAGTAATCATTATTGACCACTTGTTTTTAGAACATTGTGGAACTAATAGCAGAAAAATATTCATGGAGTTAATTTGTGTGTTTGCCTAGATAACCACGTGTGCTTGGTACACAGGATGCTGGGCAGCAAAGCTGGTACTGGTGGGTCCTCAGGCTACCACTACCTGCGTTCAACAGTAAGGTAAGATGGGGGAAATTCACCTTTTTATCTTGGCAGAAGTCACCAGGTTTTTGTTTTTCCATATACATGTGGTGCTATCTATGAAAAGTCACTTATACGTTCTCCTGTCTGCTGATAACACATTTGTAATTAGATTAAGGTATTCTTATTTAGAAACTTTTGAGGTCATTGTAAAAATTCTTAGTTCTGGGAGTTCATTACTTTGGTCTTGGGATAAAAAGGGGCATGGTACAAACGCCTGAAGGACCTGTAAGGACATGAAGGAGTTAATCCAGGTAGAAATTTTCAGCTCATTTTGCCTCAATTTTAGACTAGATTTAAATAGTTATCACTGAGTCCACTAATGTACTCTTGGTGAGATGAGTGATGCACTAAAACAACAGTTCCTTGGCCCTGCCTGGGTAGCTCATTTGGTTAGAGCATCATCCCAAGGCCAAGTTTGTGAGTTCGATCGCCTGTCAGGGTCATACACAAGAAACAACCATCGAATGCACAACAGCAAACTGGTATTTCCCTCTTTCTCGCTGTCCAATAATCAATGAAAATTTTTAATAAAAATTAAAAAATTAGTTTATTTCCTGATAGGACTCTATGTAATAGTATGAAAATTACTTTTATCTACCCCAGGGAGTGCCCTTTCATATTTTTACAAGAAAAAGGTCAATATTTATTGAGCACCTAAAGCATGTTGGAGATATTTCTAGGACATGTGTGTTCTTACTTAATCTTCACAGCATCATTGAAAGAGGGATCCATAGGTAGATATATCTGAAAACTGAGAAACTTACAGGGCCCCTTGAGAAAGGAGAATTGGCCCACGCACCTGTTAGATAGCCACCTTTAGTCTCCAAAATTCTTTATTGTTTTCATTCCCAATCATACCAACAGACTGGCTAATTTATAACATACACAGTTTCAATTTTTCATTGTTTATATGTTTTCACTTTCCCTGGAAAGAAATTCTAGATCGAATGAGTTTAAAAAATACATTGGCATGAATTTTCATAATTATATATTTTTTCTTTCCCTGGGAATAAATTCTGTAAATATGTGAGATTAAATGATTATACAAAATGAGCACAAACACCAGTGGTGGGAATAATTAACACCTTAAATAACAGCATTTCTAGTGTGTCATTATATCATCGAACCTTCACAAAGTACCAGCCAGAGGAAGGAAGAGTTTTATGTTACAAATTTAGAAAGCAAGACACTGAGGTTTAGCCAACTTGTTCAAGGTCATATGAATTGCAAGTGACAGAACAGGATTTGAACACAAATTTGACTTCAAAGGCAAATGTTCTTCTGCTATAAAACTGCAACAGTTACAATAGTGGACTAAGAAACACAAAAGGAATTTTTTAGTGTTTATAAGCACTCTGATAGACATTTACTATGAATCTTAAAATGGCATTTCTAATTATTAATCCATTTGTGCCAGTTAGTTGGCAGCTACCCTGCAGGTGGGAAATAGTTATCTAATGAACAACTAAAAACTCTGGATGCTTTAAATTTATTATTTTGCATACTGTCCTTTAAAAGTCAGAAACAAGACCATAATGAGACCCTAGGTTTTACTCTGAACCAGCCTCGTCAAAATCAATGAAACACATAATATAGTTTTATGGGCATGAACTTTGGATACTGAATAAAAAATGGCATAATCTTAATACTAATAATACTTAATATAATACATGTGATATATACAACATGTAATATACAATCTAATATTGAATACTAATTATTTATGGCAAAATATTATCTGAGATGTTTTGATAAAAAGATTTAAATATTTCATTTTGACAAATCTAAAGCATCTGTATATGTTTTTCCAGTGACAGGTACAAGGTATTTGTGGACTTATTTAATCTATCAACATATCTGGTTCCCCGATACTGGATACCGAAGTTGAACCCAGTTATTCATAAATTCCTTTACACGGCTGAATATTCTGACAGCTCTTACTTCAGCAGTGAAGAATCAGATTAAAATGACCTGCAAAAATCTATGAAGGACATAGATTTTTTTCCTTCATAATGATCTGCAAAAATCTATAATTTCTGCCTTTTTTTTCTATGAATTTTCACAAACACAGAGTCCTAATATGTGTATACACATATTTAAGCACTGTGGTGCTCTCATTCAATCCCAGAAATAATTTTACCACATTTACTGTGATAAGGTGAAGCCCTTTTGTGATGATACAAGGCATTAATAAATTAAATCAGTTACATTCTCACATTGTACATATGGTATTTTCCTATTAAAAATCTAATGTCCCTTGATACTTTGATGTAACCATTTATCCTACTATCTCATTGTTTCATATTTTATAAGCTTGTAAACTTCAACAATTTCAAATATTTTATGCAATAAAATGTGTCATTCTATATAAAGTTATTCAATAAAAATATTTTGAAGTAATAAAAATTAGTCTTTCTGTAATATATTGTTTTGAAAACATTGCTTGTATTTGTTAGGACTCTTGATCAATGACAGAAATCTATGTGAAGCTTGCCCAAAGGGGATTTTCTGGACAATTACTCCACTAGCTTAAAGAACAAATTACTCCACTAGCTTAAAGAACAAATTACTCTACTAGCTTAAAGAACTGAGAGAGCCTGGGAGCTCAAGGTTCATGGAGATGGATGCAGTTCCTAGTCTACTATATATTCCTGGAACACTTGGAGGATCTTCTGTGTCTCATCTCTTTTGTGTGGGTGTTGACTTTAGTCTTTGCTGATGTAGACCTGCTCCTCCTCCCTCAGGCTGGGTCTCAATTTTAGCACCTCTGAACTCCCAGAAGGGCAAAGAACCTCCCCCAGCTCCATTGCTTGTGGTCTGAGTGGCGCAGTCTACTCTAATGCACAGTAGGATTGAGGTAAGAATGAGAGTTCCCTCAAGTGAACAGTGTTTTTTCCAGAAGAAAGAGGAGGTAAACAGACTAAACAATGGCTCAGTTCATTTCTAGTAACCATCAGGCTAGGAGTTTAGATTAGAAATGAATTTTAGTCTTCTTTTTCTGGCTTGCCCTGGATATTGGCAAAACTTAGTTAAATTTTTACATGAGAGGAGGAAAAAATACTGTCAAGGAATCTAAAATATATATCAACTTTGACCTAGGGTAATTATATATAAAGCAAGTAGAAAGTTCTCTTTGAACTTGAACTGTTCTTCAGTATTAATTACATGGTTTTTTTCTTATAAATATCATATTGTCTAGTTTGTCTTCAAAGCAGTTTGTGACGGCTGGAGCACAGCATATGCCTACATAGAACCACAGAGGTTGAGCTGAGAAGGGGCTCTCGTTTGCAAGAGTTGGCATGTTATCTTTTAAGCATTGGGTGGGGGGGAGTCCCTGGTTTAAAACGGGAATAACATGATAACATTGTCTTTAAAAAATATAAATCCAAGGGACAGAGGGTAGGTGGATTATAATGATATTCACCAGAATCACGTTATTAAAATAAAGGGCTTCACAAATCTTCAGGTGTCATCTGATCTGGGGACTACACTTTTGAGAACCATTGGATTAAAGAACATAGGGTTTAGTGGGTAGATTACTAAATAATGGAGATACTAAAGAACATGCATCATAAAAGGAACAATAGAAATGGAGAGGAGACAGGTGACTAGGTGATCGGTTACTAAGGTATAATTGGCCTGATTGAATACCTAAGAAGATTTCCCTTAATTTTAGATTAGGTGATTACATAATGTTGATGCTGTTAACCAAAATAGAGACTCTAAGAGGTGCAGAAAGTTTCCTTGTTTGTTTATTTTTGAGACATTGAGGTTAAGGTGTGTGTGGAGAAAACCAAAAATGTAGTACATGGATTTGGAACCGAGCAAAATTCTTGGAAGAATGTAAAGCACATTAACACTGTGTTTACAAATGTAAGCCACACACTTCTGGAAACAGTCTTCTTAACACAAAGTCAAATAATGGCTTTTTTATTATAAATGTCATCAAATCCAGAGCAGTTGTGAGGTATTGATCATTTTGTAATTTAAAAATTTAGCATTTAAGAAAGAGTATCAGAAAAGCATTTGTATTATATAGAAATCAGTAAATGAATACAAACTTAGTTCCATTTCGTATACTTAAGTAATTAGAATATTAATCAATTCAACTATCAATGCTTGTCTTCATGTAACATTTCTAAACCCGAGTCAACACATACATTTTTGAGATTGGTTCTGGTTGGTGTAAGAAAAAGAAATACAGTGTTTTATTTTTAATTTTCATTTTCTGATAAAGGGAATAGATAAATAAAAACCAAAAGGGGAAGAAAAAATAAGATGTCCTCAATTTTTTTTAGTGGTTGCTGCTATACTTACAATTTCATTTTTATAATATATTTTACATTAGAAAGAACCTGGAGGGATTGAGCAGAAAAGAGAGAGAAGGAAAGAGAGAAAGAGAGAAGACAGAGGGATATGGACAACAGTGTGGTGATTGCTGGTAGAAGTGGGGGCGGAGGGAAGTAGAGGAAGGTAAGGGAGGATAAATCGTGATGGAAGGAGACTTGACTTGGAGTGGAGAACACATACTACAGTATACAAGTGATGTGTAGTGGAATTGTGCACCTGAAATCTACGATTTTGTTAATCAGTGTCACCCCAATAAATTCAATGAAAAGGAAAAAGAAGCAACCATGAATTTTAGAGAAGAAATACTTACATATGTAGTCTTTGATTAGATTTTGTTATATAACATTTAATACAGTTGTATAATCAAATGACCATCTTCTTATGCTCTGAAGTTTTTCCACAGCCATACATAATGATTTAGGCAAGATAGAGAACATGGGCATAAAGAACTAGGAACCAGGCAAAAGTCAAAAGGATGTACAAAACAATAGTTAGAATGGGAGTCTGGGAAACATAAGCAGAAAACTGGGAAAATAGAGAACTTGGGAAACTCACATTCTGGCTGATATCCCAGATTAATGATATTAGACTTTGAAAGGCATGTTACCTACAAATAATGGGAAAAAGAGAAAGAGGGAGAACTTGATGTTGGTGGTTTAGATGCAGCAAGAAAGAAAGAAAGAAATGAAAAATAAACAATGAGACTTCTTAGACAGGGAAGTCAAACAACCTGGAAAATTTAGGGGTGCCACAGTAAAGATTAAGAGAGAGAGAGAATGGAAAAATATGGAAAAATATATTGTCTTTCAATTTAGGGAGACCAAAGTAAGCAATGAAGTCTATTGGAATCTTATTGAAAATGAAAATTTCCAAATAATACTTTATCTCTCAGGCAATGCTACTCACTTTTTTTCTTATCACACAGTTGCCATATAATTTATTGTCATTTAATTTCATTCTTGTAAAAAGTGATTTTTGTCCTTTTGCTTCTTACTACATGATCTCTCTGCAGTTCAAGGGATAAGCGCAATTTGTTGAGGGAAAGCTATTGGTATTTCAAAATCCTTACAAAATTTCATCTCAGAGGGCTGCGAGTATAACTGCGAGAGGCACACGTAATTGTAGGGTGGCTATGGCTGTATGGAGGGGTAAGCTAAGGCGGTGATTATATCCCGCAAAAGAAAAGACATTCTCATCATCTCTTTAACCCTCCCAGAAGTGTGACATTAAGAATAAACAAATAAAAAACAAACAAAAACAGCAATCAGACAAAACCAGGTAACACCCTCTTCAAAATAAACAGACCTAAAATATTTTTTAATCTGAGGCTCCCTCCAGAGCAGGAAGCTCTTTCCCAGGCCGTTGTGCTGCTGTTCTTCCCGCTGACCTCGGTTGCCCATCTCTCCACATATGAAGGGAACAGTCTAGAGCTTCGTTTAAATGCTACTAGCCCCTAGAACCTTTTGTGGGTAGTTGCTAAAACCTAAAGGTGAATAATGCTGAGAAGGAATTACCAGCAACATTTCATTATGAACCTTCATTTTTGTGATCATCTCTTGATCCAGTCAATGTATCATACAAATACGGCAGAAACAGAATCTGCGATGCCTAAGTAAAAAAAAAAGAAAGAAATTATTAGAACACGTCTATTTCCTCTTTATATGCCCCATACATAACAAATAAAAACAATTCTAATTTGGGTTCAGGAAAAGTTAGCATCTACCAAGAAAATAATTTAACAGTTATAGCTCTCAATATAAACATGGCAACCTAAAAAGCAGATATCAGAAGAGATGACTAATGCTTTTGTTTCAAGAAACTACAGTATAACCCAAAATGACTTATTAACTGAGGTGATAATTTATAAAACTATTTTTGTGATAAAGTAATTTATAAAACTATTTTTGTCAATTGGCTAAAGTGAAAATTATTACTATAAAAGTGATCTGAGTATGTTGGAGGCATACTATGGAAGGGTCAGGTTTTCAATTTTAATATATTCCAAGTGTCTTTCTTGATATTTAGCTTGAAGTTTTCAACATAAATTCATGACTCACCGCAAATATTCCCTCCCATTTTGACATGGGCATAGCCATTCACTCCCCATGAACTTCCCCATGAGTTCCGCACAATCCAATATGGAGTACTTCCTACAAAACAAAAACGGTAACAAACATGAAATACTCATATTTGTGTGAATGCATGTTTATTTAAAGTTTATTTCTTGATCAGTGTAGTAACTTTGAGAGAATGATTAAAACTGTAATGGAATGCTAACTTAAGCTAGCTAAGTAAACTTGAGCTGTAGTGAGTGTCAACACTCCAATTAATGGAAAAATATGTTTGAATTCATTTCACTTAATACAGGGCCTACATAAAATGAAAACACACACACATATTTACAGGGAATTAAAAAAAGGGAAAAAAATAAGTGATAAAATAATAGGCATTTCTGTTTTGCCAAAAATTATCCTAAATACCCCAGGTGGAAAATGTACCTTATTTAAATCAATAATTATCATCATTTAAACAAATTATCCACCAAAATTGATAGGTAGAAACACAATGGGGTCATTTATACCTGAAAGTCTTTTGAAAAGTTGTAAAGGTACTATGAGGACTTAGATATAACCACATCAAATTTTAACTTTTTAAAAGGTGGCAATCATTTATCGATCACCCTAAGCTAGAAAGCAATCAATCAAGTCTTATCAGCACTTACCTGTTTTATCAAACCCAGTTATGATCACTGCATGATTTGCTTCACCACTGGAGCAATGATGCTGTATTATCCCTCCCAGATAATCTTGCCAGCTGACTGCATCTACTATCCCTACCAAAGGACCAAAGGAAAGAAGAGCTTTTGCCATGTTGTCTTCTTGACCACTACCAAAAGAGAAAATATTTGTTTAAGGAGTTTAATTTTTAAGGTACAAATATTTTATTTTTATTCTTTTAAAATTATTTATTTATTTTTAGAGAGAGGGGGATGGAGGGATAAAGAGACGGAGAGAAAGATCAATGCGCGGTTGCTTCTCAAGTGCCCTTCACTGGGGACCTGGCCTGCAATGCAGGCATGTGCCCTAACTGGGAATTGAACTGGCAACCCTTTTGTCTGCAGGCCAGTGCCCAATCCACTAAGCCACACTAGCCAGGGCTAAGGTAAGAATATTTTATAAAAATGATCTCTTTAATCTTTTTATAAATACAAGTAGGTTTGGTTGCAATTACAGATGATTTAAACAATGGAGGCTAAAGGAAGCCTGGAATATTGGCAGTCCAGGACTATGTGGGGCTACAGGATATCACGAAGCCAGTCTCTTTTTATATTATTATTCTGCCACGTGATGTGGCCATTCTCAGGGTGAGTTAATAGTCCAAGAGAGCTGCAAAGGCTCCAGACATTTAACACATATTTCACACAGCAGGAAGTAGAAAGGAGAGGTTGAGAAGAATTCCCAGAAATAACACACACATTCTGCATATATCTGCATGGATCTCACTGGCTAGAACTCAGTCATATGGCTAAGTCTAACTTCAAGGTAGATGGTGAATGAAGTTTTGCAACTGGCTAGCAATGTATCCAGCTATAATATAATGATTCTTCTAATAAGGAAGGTAGAAAGACAGGATGCGTAGAAATATCTCTGCCATACCATGTGAAAATCAAGAGACCGATCAACTTTTGTTAGTGAATGTCAAATACAGAAATTATAGAGAAAGGTTACCCCAAAGTAGCAAATATCACTATATGACAGAAGAACTGTATAAGACGCCAAGGGCCTCGTACTATATTGTGAAGACTGCAAAGACGCAGTTACTGTTTCTACATATGGACATCTAACGATAAATCTTATGTTACACAACATTCAGCCTTCACTGATTTTGAAAGTATGTTAGTAAACTATTATTTACATTTTTAAAGATCAGCTTTGGGGGTGAAGGGCACTATAACCAAGTTACTGATATTTTGGGCCACAAAGATAGCATTTGGTAGATTATTGCTGCAACAAGACATGGGTAGATTAATGGCTTGAAAGAGTATATAATTCTTCATCGTGTCCAATTAGACATCAGTTCCTATCAAGGGAATATTTTCCACACCCATGAAGGAAAACAATGAATTAATTAAAGAAAGGTCTTCTTGCACAGTCTATCACAGTTAGTTTAGCATTGTATTACCAGTTTAATGTTCACAGACACAGACATTTTTTAGGGACCTCTTTCTGTTTAATCAAAGGGTTGAAGAAATCCCATTTCAGACACAATGCCAGTGACCTTTGCATATGCTCTCTCTAACTCAGACTAATGCCTCTTAGTCTTTCATTTCTTCCTAACTTTCTCAGTTAATTATCCATGAGAAGGGATTCCCTGAATCTTTTTCTAATAACATCTTGAAAATTGTGCCTTCTTGTACACACACTTCACTTATACTCTCAAGGAACTGAGAGCTTACACAGGCACACTTTCTCATTTTAGAAAGTGTGTTGCTTTTATCAAATGAGATGCTGACCACTGTACTCACTGACCCTGCGCATATTATTACTGGTCCAGTGTAGCCTGCTGTTTGTAGAATTGAAACTTTCTGGTGTATGGTTCCTACAGTCACCCCGAGAGTCCTTTGTTGGGCAAAGGAGCTGTGTTGACAATCTGCCAGTCCTTTGACACACTTATGCTTATTTAGAGGGGTTCTATTTTGTTCAAGGGTCCAATTTCACTCTTGATTCCCTTCACATCCCATGGGTAGACATCATCTGGATGAAGAGATCCTGTTTATATTCGGTACCAGTAACTCAGAGGGCAGTCGGTCATCTCATCCAAATTTAATTTCTTTGTTCTCTGTTTCAAAAGACCGTGCAAAGCTCCCTCCATATTTAAAAACAAAGAAGACAATAATGCCAGGTTTGGGTTGAGTATTTTTCTGTTTTTATCATTTCTGATCACCTATTTTTCACTACATTGAATGGTCACAATGGTCTCTTGCTGGCTTTGACATTTTCATATAATTTGAAAGCATTTTTTAATGATTGTTTTCCCCTGAACCTGTCCAGAGTCAACTTGCCCTTCAAGTTCTGACACAAAACGTCTTCCTCAGCCTTTTCTAATCTATCCCTCACTCCCCTGCGTTAATACAGGGTGTGCTACAGGATCTATCTCTGGTAATACATTCCTCCTTGTTTCTGATGTGGAAGTTTCAGTTTATGCCTTTCTTAGAGTTGACAGCTTGAAATGCAGGGAATGCAGAGGGTGTTCAAAAACTGATTCCTGGTAAGTATACTGCTTGATATTCACTACAGCTTCTCTACAAGGCCGTTTTCCATTGATTCAACAGGAGGATTAAAATATACTAATGGTAATGATGACACCTAGAGTTGGTAAGAGGAAGGCAGTAAATATAAATTATACCTTTAACTGGATTTACTGTGTTAATTTAAACTTTATATTTTTATTATAATGACACATTGACACCCAAGCAGATCATATTTAAGGTCCAATATCCCTAGCACTCCATGGTGATTGACAATCAGTCTCTCTGGTAGGAAGTAAGTTTGAAAACAATTAGAAATATGCAGTGAAGCTTTCAATCAAGTTATTAATTCTGAATAGTCAATAGATCATAAATGAAAAAATAGGAAGAAAACCACAGTAAAAGGAGATATTTACCTGAAGTCATGGGCAGAATAGCCTTTGATTGAAAATCCAGAATGTGAGCCAGAAAAGTAATGGCACAGGCCATTCTGTGCTTTAAATGGGTATTCTGAATCTCTCACCAGTTTTACTTGCGTCTAAAAAGAAAATAATCACCCAAAGTGTTCTCTGTCATGCAGTTGTTTTAAAAGTCAAACAGAACTTTCTGCAATGTGTCAAAATAAAATTCAACTTGGTTACAACTTCATCATGTGGGTATTCACTGGGTAATTATAAGATCTTAAATTCAATTTGTAGGTATTTGTTATGGACATTCTAGCAATTAGAGTCATTATCTTTCTTTTTATCTTATTCTTGTTTTTCCTGTAACCCCCTTCTTTGGAACCTCTATCATTCTGAAAATAAAGTCTTGTCACCTTTCTTCAGAGATTAAAACAGGGCAATCCACCTTCTCCTTCAGGGCTTCTGGTTCTATGTTAGCATTTCTTTGAGACTCATTCAGCATATAACCATTGTGCACAGGTAATGGTTAAGTCAAGCACTTTTCCTATGCTCTTCTCTCTGTGCCTTGCATCTGGCATATGTCACTTATTTTATAGTTATCTATATACACTCTTCCTTTCCTGAATGTTGGGCTTATGAACGGGAGAGGACACAATTCATTGTTGCCCATAATATAGAGCAGCTTTTGGCATTTAGGGACTCAAGTACAGCAAATCATTAAGGGAAGGATATTTGAGTTTGGAGAACTAGCTTGACAACCTTTTAGAAAATGTAATAGCATCCTCATTGGCTGGTGTCACACAACTGATGCTAGATCTAGGACAATGTTAGAAAGTATCCTAAGAACACTAAGGGACACTGTGGTATAGTGGATAAAGATGTCCAATGGGAAGCAGAGGACTTAAAGTGCAATTCTGGCTCAGCCACTGATCTGGCAATATAATTTCACATCTTCATCTATATAAAGAGTTACTAAATTAGCTGACTTATAATGTCCTTTTTAACCCTAATCTTCAGAAATTCTATAGAAATCGATAATCATATGCTCTCTCCTTTCTGGGTCACTATTTGACATGTACCTGCAAAATAAGTCATTAACCTATTAATAAATGTTCAAAAGTAAACATAAATAATTTTGGGAAAACAGATCTCACATAAGATTTTCTCCCTTTTGATGTCGATGGCTGATTTGCCTAGAAGTAATTCATTTTAAAATTTGATTAATATAAGCTTTGTTCATCTAAATTTCAAAACTTAAAAACATTATTAGTAAATGAGAGTAAAATTGTTTGAATTAGGAACACATTAAATAAGCAAAGGAGGAAACAAAGAATTTAAAGGGCTGAGAAACTAGTCACCGTATTTAGCCAGTTCAAAGCACTGACAGTAGATCCTCCATTGCAGCCATAGTTATTATATGAACAATCAAGGACCTGCTGCACACTCAGGTCTTCCAAAGGCTTCCCTTTTATTGCATATGCTGATTCCACTGCACCTACCACGCTGAAGGCCCAGCATCCTCCACACTGTTTTAAAATAGAAACAAAACAGTATTTTTTATCAAACACCGTTAAAACCAAGTTTGCCAACATTTTTCAGGATCACAAGTTGTCAAAACAAGTGAGCAGAATTTGGAGGCCTAGAAAAATATAAATGCCCATCCTTTTGATCTCCAAATTGAAAAAAAGAAAGGGAAACCTAAATTCTATTTTAAGTATCAAAATCCAATAATTAGTTAAAGGTAAATTGGCATATCATTATTGCAAAGTAGATAATGCAAGATAAAAGAAAATTTTAGGGATCTGAGAAAACAGACGGATAGTATTTTTAAAGACTAGTCAGTTCATTAAACAGGTGATGTCTGTTTCTATGACGTGTACCAGTTCCCACCCCATTCTCCAGTTCCTCATTTCTGCAGACTCTACACTTCTGTGTCATCCACCATCTACCCACTAAGGGAGGTGATAAGGCGAGGTGGAGTGAGGAGGCATGTCATATATGTTGCCCTCATTATTTGATGGATACAGGAGCTGAATAAGTTAGTTTTTAAACTATCAAGATGCTGGCTTGTGCATATTGTAAATGCACATTAAATGTCTTAATGATAGAAACCCATATTAGTCATTCCTCATTCAAATGTTGGCTGGCAATCTTCCTGATTCTGGATCTATTCACTTGCTTTTGTTGGACAAACTAGAACAAAGGCGTAAAAGGGTAGGTCCTGAAACAAAGGGAGGAGATGCAGCAAATGGAATCAAGGATCATGCACAAGAAAGACAGAACCACAGAAAAGGCAGAGGTGAGAGTAGGATTTCAAACTGAGTAGAACTGACCTAATCATAGGACCACGTGCTGCAGAGTTAGGCAAAGGAAGAAAGAACAACTTGTTGTCTTCATGGAGTGAAGACCTGAACAACTTTATGGATTTGAATGGCCTTTTATGTCTAGATCTCCAGTGCCTACTGCGTAGTAAAATATTCACTGAGGGACTAGACTATAGGATCTTCACCCACTGAGAAATGTGAATATAGGTTGCTGACACCATGTCTACAGCGAGCTCTAGTTAAGCTACCTTTGGCTTCCCTAGGAGGGCAGTGCTTGCTCAGAAATCTCTCTTCAATATACTCCTTTAATTAAAGATTCCTAATTTAAATGTCCCCTTTAATACAATGTAGACAGTCCTAGGAGGATTAGATTTCAGATCATTTCACACTTGATTATGAACCCAATAACAAAGCACATGATTTGGTGCTAAAAATCTAATTCACAGCAGTAAGTATAGGACCTGGGAAATAAAAAGGATTACCCTGAATCAATGATGACTGAGAAACTGCAGGGTCCAGAATACTTGCCATACTGCCAGATGGGTACTAGATTTATCAGGGTGAACACTTGGTAAGTTATATAAATGTCTAATCACTATGTTGTACACCTGAAAGTAGCATGATACTGTATGTCAACTGTAATTGAAAAGAAATTAAAAGGGGAGGTTGAATGGCCTGTTGCAGTTTCCACTGAAGATAAATTGAGATTATAGTCACATGATTAGGGGACTGACCTTCTCTGGTCAGCTGACATTTCCTGTGCTGAAACTTTTACTGTCCTCTTATCTTTTTTTAAGTGGGTCACTAAGTGTGACACATTTTTAAATGTTGTACTCTACACCTCATTTTCCCCATAATCCCTTTCAATTTTTCTGCATGGGTTTTGCACAGGTGGTGATTTTTAAGAATGTGTGTATATATCACATTAAAGAAAAAGGACTCCATTCCTGAGGGTCACAGATAGAAAGTGTCTGACCCTTTAGTGGGTATGGTTTGCGTTGGAGCTAAGGGATGAGGCCTGAGAACCCATGGGACCAGATTACACTGTCACTAAGGGTATCTGGTATTGTGTTATTTTTTTCAGTGCCGTTTCCCTTTTAGTATCAGGTTTACCTTCTCCAGCATCGGCTATTCTACAGAAGCTTTGGTAACTGTCACACAGCTACTGGGAAGCACCTCTGAGCCAGTGTGCTGGTGGCAATGGTAGTTAGTGAGAGAACACAGCAAAGGTGGTTTATCTTGGAATAACAGTTGGGCTTTGACTTCTGCCTCCCATTCCCCTAGAGTCTTGACTTACTGCCATTTTTTGAATGATTGAGGTGTGATTTTTACCTAGAGAAGTGATGAGTTCCATTACAGGTTTGATGGAACTGGACCTCAAAGGTGACTTCCCATGCTACGATGATTAAAAAAGAAAAAAACCCTAAAACTTACCGCCTGCTGGTTTTTCACTAGTGTTACAACATGCTTGTCTCTCCAGTCAAATCTTAATGGCAAAGACAAGTTGGAGATGGACTCTGAGACTTCTGCTGAGTATTTTTGAAATGTGACAGCTTTGCTCCTTAAATAAATAGCTGAGTAGAACCATGAAATGGAAAGATAACAATATTAGATTATAGGAAGGACTTCTTAAGGTTCTTTCTAGGGGAACTTTTCAAACAGAAACAGTAGCTTTCAAGCAGAGGCTGCCATTGGAGATTTTTCTATGTGCTTTTCCATAGCATCAAATGCAAAGCTATACCTGAAAGCTATAAAAGATGAGAATTCTTACAATAGAGCTGGAACTGCCACATAAAATGACTTGTTTGAAAGAACAGGTCAACAATAATAACGAGTATAATTAGTATCATTTGTTTTATCATAACCCATGGAACCATGGGTAACTTGAATTTAAAAAGCACTAAAAATTACAGAAGGAATGAGGCATTCATTGTCCCTTACAGTCATACAAAAATGTCTTATATAAATAATATTTAGTTATTAAGCAATAATGAGAAGAGTGGCCACGAATTCATTTTTCTGTCAGCACCTAGTACATGCATAACATTTAGTATTTAATAAATTGTTAACTATTACTTAATTTTCTAGGTTCACAACTCAACAATTCCTTAAAAATTAAGGAAACAAGTTAAAATCAGGGAACCAATCAACTAATAGCACCACTACACCATACCTTTAAACTCTTCAGGAAACAAATATGAAAATTGATTTATTCCATAGACAGCAGAGGAATTTTCACTAGGAAATAAAGAATTCAAATATCGATGTCTATTAAGACTTTCCTAAAAGAAAAAATAATTTTGGGGGGAGGGGATGGTTATTTTTTAATTAATTAATTTTATTTTATTATTTTTATTTTTTTACTTTTTATTTTTAAAGTATATTGTATTGCTATTACAGTTGTCCCATTTTTTCTCCCCTTTATTCCTCTCCACCCCGCACTTCCTCTCCCACCAGCAACCCTCCCTCTCCCCGCTTAGTTCACGTTCCTGTTTCACATACATAAGTTCTTTGGCTTCTCCATTTCCTATATGATTCTTAACCTCCCCCTGTCTATTTTGTACCTACCATTTATGCTTCTTATTCTACCTTTTCCCACATCCTCCCCCATCCCTCTCCCTCCTGATAACCCTCCATGTGATCTCCATTTCTGTGATTCTGTTCCTGTTCTAGTTGTTTCCTAAGTTTGTTTCTGTTTTTAGTTTCAGTTGTTGATAGTTGTGAGTTTGTTGTCATTTTACTGTTCATAGTTTTGTCCTTCTTCTTTTATCTTGGATAAGACCCTTTAACATTCCATATAATAAGGGCTTGGTGATGAACTCTTTTAACTTGACCTTACCTGAGAAGCACTTTATCTGCCCTTCCATTCTAAGCAATAACTTTGCTGGATAGAGTAACCTTGGATATAGGTCCTTGCCTTTCATGACTTTGAATACTTCTTTCCAGAAGTTTCTTTTGAGAAGTTAGCTGAGAGTCCTATGGGAACTCCTTTGTAGGTAATTGTCTCCTTTTCTCTTGCTGTTTTTCAGATTCTCTCCTTATCTTTAATCTTGGGTAACTTAACTATGATGCGCCTTGCTGTGTGCTTCCTTAGGTCTACATTTTGGGGGACTCTCTGAGCTTCCTGGACTTCCTGGAAGTCTATTTCCTTTGCAAGACTGGGGAAGTTCTCCATTATTTGTTCAAATAAGTTTTCAATTCCTTGCTCTCCCTTTTCTCCTCCTGGTACTCCTATGATTCGGATGTTGGAACATTTAAAGTTGTCCTAGAGGTTCCTAAGCCTCTCCTCGTTTTTTTGAATTCTTGTTTATTCATTCTGTTCTGATTGAATGTTTATTTCTTCCTTCTGCTCTCAATTGTTGATTTGAGTCCAAGTTTCCTTCCCTTCACTGTTGGTTCCCTGTATATTTTTCTTTATTTCACTTTGCATAGCTTTCACTTTTTCCTCTTTTTTTGTGACCATACTCAGGCACTTCTGTGAGTATCCAGATTACCAGTGTTTTGAACTGTGCATCTAATAGGTTGGCTATCTCTAAATTGCTTAGTTGTATTTTTTTTTTTTTTTTTGGAGTTTTGATCTGTTCTTTCATTTGGGCCATAGTTCTTTGTCTGGGCCATTGTAAGGGGTGGAGCCTTAGGTATTTGCCAGGGTGAGGCAACACAGGTCGCTGCACTATGACGCTGTCTGTGCGGGAGGGGTCCGAAAGGGACCAATGCCGCTTGCTCGGCTCTCGACTGGCTTTCAGTCACTTCCCCTGCAACCCACAAGCAAATTGGGCCCCTCTGGTGCTGATTCCCAGGTGCATGGGTTTGTGTACATTTTAGGGCCCCATGAGTCTCTCCAGTGGACTCTCCTGTGTAGCTGGAAGTTTTTCCTGCTGCCACAACCCCCACAGATTTTTACAGCCAGAAGTTTCGAGGCTTTCTTTTCCTGCACTGGAGCCCTGGATTGCACTGTCAGTCTGTCTTGCTCCCCAGCTGTTCCTGCAGTTTATACGCATGCAAACATGAGACTGCCTGGTCCGCCAGCTGAATGTGTTCTCTCCACCCTGGCTGCCTGTCTCCACCCCTCCTACTGGTCTGTATGAATGTTTCTTCTTTAACTCCTTGGTTGTCGGACTTCCATACAGTTTGGTTTTCTGGAAGTTCTGTTTGTTTTTTGTTTTTAAATTTGCTGTTGTCCTTCTTTTGGTTGTGTGAGGAGGTAAAGTGTATCTACCGATGCCTCCATCTTAAAAAGGGTAATTTATATCACCTATGTTAACTTTCCAGAGCAATTTGTGTAAATTAACTTGGAGATAGTCTTTAGGTGTGAAAGTTAAAGCTGGATTTATTTCCAGCAGATCACAATAAAAGGATTATATAAGAACATATCATATTTATAAATGTTTTCTATTGGAACTTCTATCTGATTTCAGGTATATTTTTGAGGCTGGGGAAGGTACGTCTAATCTATTTGTAACTTGTCTTCACTAAACACATTGAGAGCACTAGATATGTTGTTTTTTTTAACATAGTGGAAAAAAATAAATTGCAAATAAGCACTAGATACAAGTGGAAATTGTCACCAATAGACACTCATGTGATTAAAATATTATGAATTTGGAAAGTGTGTCTTCTTCATCTTTGTATTTCTCAGCACTAAATAATGAATCATGAGAAAGGGAATGAGTAAAGAATGAATGAATGAATCTGATTCTATTTGAGCTTTAGAGAATCTGTCTCATTTATGGTACAAAGCTTTGTGATAGATGGAATCCTGGAAATAATCCATGAAGAGGGGTTGGTCTGTCTGGAGAGAAAATATGACTATTATTTACAGATTTCTCAGCTTTTGTGGTAATTTTTCTTAGGCTTGTCTTTTATGTGAACATGCCTCAATTTCCTCATACTACAATTGTGTGGCATAAATAAAATATTCAAGGGACCACCATGTGGTACATTTCCAGCTCTATCTCTTCCATATTTGGTTGTGCACTTATCTGTTTACTGTGTGTCTTTGTTTTAAACCCGTAAGCAAAATGCAGCAGACTAGGACACTTTGCCTTTCCTCTCTCCTTCACTCAGAGTAAGAGCTTCACTGTTCTGAGATAGCTCTCCCTGACTCTCTACCCATTTCTTTTCATAGTCATTGATCCTGTGATAAGGGAGAAAAGAAAAAGAAAGAGAAGCTACAGATTGTTTTCACAGTAAAAATAGAAGTATCAGTATACCCAAAAATATTTATTTCCTATTTGCTATAATGGTAGAATATACCATTATACCAAGTCCACCTATCATTTAAATTTTTAAAAGGCCTGATTTCCATTTTGGGAGTGAACTATTCTTTCAAATAACTTTTCTGGTCTACTTCAATTCCTGCTGTTAAGGCCTATTTCATAGAATCATCACCAACTGTGAGTCTATATTGAGCTCCAACTCCTTGTCATATTAATCTGTCATAGAATTGACATAGGAAAGAATCAATTACAATAGCATATGTTCTTAACAGAAGGAACAGAGGATGTAACATGATCAGCTGTAAACATCCCTAAATCCATATAAAGTATTAAAATGAAGGACTTGAACCTTAATTTCATTTATAAAAGAAAAAATGTAAAGGTTTTTACTATTGCTAAGATGAGCACAGTTCTTATGTGCTTTTAATTTACTTCACAGTGGGTTGCCAGATGGAAGGGGGATTGGGAAGCTCAGTGAAAAAAGAGAAGGGATTAAGAATTACAAATTTGCAGCTACAAAATAGTGATGAGGAAGTAAAGTACAGCATAGGTAATATAGTCAATAGTTTTGTAGTAACTATAAACTATATATGGTGTTAGATGGGTGCAGGATTTATTGGGGGATCACTTTATAAGTTATATAAATGTCTAATCATGATGTTGTACACCTGAAACTAATATAATATTGACTTTGAACTGCAACTGAAAATAAAAAATTAGTTAAAAGTTAGAAAGTTTTGAAGAATACACAGGAAACATTAGCAGTTTTGAAAGGTGCAGAAGTTTGAAAAAGAGATGGATTATATACTAAAAATATAGGAGCTCATAAGTCAAAACAGCCTTTAAACAGATTTGGTGAAAAATAATTATCTTTACATGGTTTTTGTTTTCTTTTGTTTTAACTGAATGTGTTTAATTGAATGAGTTACAGTAAGACATACCAGATTCCTGTCTGGAAGGAGATCTAAGGCCAAAGAACTTGACATTATTTTATGATTATAAAACTAGAAAAAACATGTCGTTTTGACATTAATATTTCATTCTAAAGCTATTTCAACCTAATTTATACTTAGACAACTGGTCTCTTCCAGAGTTTTAATGCTGGAGTAAAATCTAACCATAATTACGAAGTGTTTTCAAAATAAACTGAAAAGGAAATGAAACGCTTCCCTTTCTCCAAATCAATCTCCACCAAGTGACTGACTTGGTGACCTTTTAAGGCAGCGCACGAGTCTAAGGAGCCCAGTGCAAGAAAATCATAAACCAGCAAGATTCTTGCAGCTTGCTCAATCAATGCAGGGTCTTTAAAAAATTCTGATTCCCGAAGGAGTTTACCAGCGCCCTCCTTAGGAAGAAAAAAATGCAGGTTTCTTCTGCTTATTTCTGGTTCTGTAACTGAAGTGGGACAGCTTTGGAAGCAGTGAGAACCGCCAAGCGGTTCTGCTAAAAGGGATAGTCTCTTTTAATCAAGAACACTTTAGACATAACTACTGATTACTTGGGGCACGTCATGTAAATCCACAGCGGCAAAAACTTTCATGGAAAATTAAATATTTGCATTAGCAAAGGCACAAGAGAGAGCGAGACACAGCCACATGGGGGAGGCAGGGAGAAGTTCGGGGGTGTAAGCTCAGCTCGAAAACCACAGAGCTGTGGGCTTGGGGACCCCCAGGAGTCGCAGGGCTCAGTGGCCCCTCTCCCACCGCCGGGACTCGGGACAGGACAGGGCGAGAAGAAAACAAACGGGGAGATGCACGCTCGATACCCGGAAGGCGGCCTCCTGTCGCTCGCGGCTCCGTGGTCCAGTCGGGATGAAGGTGGCACCTTGGCCGGCTCCGCGGCCAACGCAGCAGCACCACCAGCAGCAAAGCAGCCAGAGCCAACCGAGCGCCCGCAGCTCCATGGCCCGCGCCGAGACCCGCGAAACCACACCACCTGCGCGGGTTTCCTTTCGGTTCTTCGGCTCCTCCTCCTCTCTGGGTTTGGGGGGCGGAAACAGCGGAGCGGGGTGTGCGGACCTTGGACTGTCACTCCATTAGTCCCCGTTGCTTTGGGCCTGGGAATGCACTTGGCTGCAAACTGCTGAGATCCTTTCTGCTTTCTTGGGGGAAGAAAAATTAGACACATGACCACGTGCTTTTCGGTTTCATCTCCCATCTATTAGAGAAAAGTTTTCTTTATACAGGAACACGAAGATACAAACTACTGAGTGGCCTGTACTTCCAGAATTAAGTCATTTATTTGCCTTCCTTTGATCTCAAATGGAAGGATTCAGGCAGTAGTTGAATTTAACTTTACCTTAATCCTGTTGTTGCCTCTGTGATGGTCCCTCACGTTCAGAAACTAACTCTGAAATAATGTTTATGAATTTATATGGAGACATTGATTCAGCAGGTATTTGTTTAGCAATACGTTAGAAAAAATTACCATTGTGGAAATAGTGCACAACTTCTTAATTTATTATGGCCTTTTGGAAACTCTCGAAATCCATTTCTCCTGTTGCACAGGCGGATAGAGATAGCACCCATTAAATTCGTGGTAAAATTTAAGTAAAGTAATCCACATGAAGGGCTTTTAAAGATGCCTGGCACACTTTAAGTCCTCAGTGTTAGCTATTTATTTTATTTTTAAGGCACCCCCCCCATTTATTGTTACACTGCCTTCCACCTGCTCAGCTTAGCTTATAATATCCCATTTTTATGCTTTCTTCTTTTTATTTTTTTTCAAACATTTTCATTTCATAGTAACCCAGTTCTAGAGAATGGACCACAGAAGGGACAAAAGTAATGTTCAAGTCAGTTAATCCTAATATCCTAATATGGCAGCATCTCATGTTAAGGATTTTCTAGAGGGAGGGGCAAAAACCCTTCTTTGGTGACTTCAAATGTCCACCATCACAGGTCCTAGATGACTCTTGGAACAGTTCAGCTGTTTCTCAAATTTAAAGTGCACAGACACCTAAAACTATTACAAAATAATACCGAGTGTCAACTGTAATTAAGATATAAAAATTTTTAAAAAGTAATTGACATAAAAAATAAGTGTACAGGAAATGCAAATTCTGATCCAATGGTTCTGCTTTTCTAACAAGCTCTGGGGCTGTCTCTGCCGCTTGGGGGCACAGGCCACACTTAGAGCAGCAAGCAGCACTCTGCGGCTACTGTTTCTCCAGTTTTCTTCATGCAGGCAGAACTAGGAAGAGAGCTGGGATAACTAAACTACCTCAAAGAAAATTCTGTATGCCTTTCTGGTCATTCCATCTCTGCTTATTTCCTTGAAAAGAAAGAAGTCGGTGCTCAATATTACCGGGCCTCAGGATCAGCTACATAATTTGCATGCCCCATGTAAAATGAAAATGGAGGCCCCTTCTTCATGTATTATTAACAATTTCAAGACAGGAACAGTAGGGCATTCAACCAAGAAGCATAGGGTCTTGTGTGGCTGAACAGCCTACACACCCATGAAGGCAGCTCTACCAGGTCTTTCTATAATAACCTTTTCTATACAATGCTTCTGGAAGTCTTCAGAATTGATGCCCTGACCCTCGTAAACATTTTAGAACCACCATCTGATTTATGTCTTTAGTTTTTACCTAGGTATAGTGAGTCATGCTATTCTCTGATACAAAGTTGGTAATAAAATTAAAATACATCTGTTCTGGGAATTAAGAGTACAGACTTGGAAGCTTTTTTATATGCACGTTTGATGAGATATACTGATCTTGGAATATATGGTGGTAAAGATTTCATTCAGACAGTAAGTTCAAAGATCAGTGTTGATGTCAACCTCACTAGTGCTTCTGCCCCTAGCCCTTACATGTGAACCACTCAAGCCAATACTTTTTTATTTTTTTAACAGAGGTTTGATTCAGATCACAACTACTGTTTATCAACAACCTACTGAGTCAGAAAATTTAATCATAGGCAGTCGTCCTTATGTATAAATGGTAATGTAAAAAAATTACAATAAAATTGCTTCCTAAACTCACGTGAACAAATATTTACTGAGCACCTATTATGTGCCAGGTATTCTATGTAATGAGGATGCATCAGTGCATAAATGACTAAAGAGACAAAATTTTCACCCTCATTGAACAGGCATGCAGTGAGAAAGGATGTGCAGAAAAATTAGGAAAAGTGTTATGCGGCAATAAAATGGAATAGGGCGAGTCAGGAGTGTGAAGGGCTGGGGCCGTGATTTTAAGTGAGGTGTTTAGGGTAGACCTCCCTGAGAAGGAGACAGCTGAGGAAAGACTTGAAGGAGGTGAGAGTGAGATATTCTGATATTTGGGGAAAAGAAACTAAGACAGAAGGAATAGTCAGTGCAAAGGCCTTGGGGTGAAAGTAAGCCGGCCATGTTCCAGAAATATAAAAGAAGTCAGTGTGGATGAGGGGAGAGGATGAGAGGGAGAGAAGAAGATGAGATAAATAGGAAGCACACAGATTATAGAGGTCTTTGTGGCTTAATGGGGAATCAAAATTATTTATTATATAGGTTTTTAAAGTTTGAAAACATTTTTATCTTGAAAGTGAAGGTGACAAGTATCTGCTAATTTTCAGAATAAACACAGTAAATTGCATCTATAAGGGAAGTGTAACTTTTTTCATTAAATTTGCAAAATACCACACTCCTGTATTAATTCTGTTTTAGTGATCTATTGCTGCATCACAAATAACCCCTATACTGAGTAGCTTCACAATACTAACATTTATTACCTCACACAGTTATGGTGGAGCAGGTTGGGAACAACCTAGCTGGATGGTTCTGGCTCAGGCTCTGTCCTGAGGGTGCAGACAAGCTGCTACAACAGCTGTAGTCACCTGAAGGTATCGCAGGGTTAGAGGGTTTGATTTCAAGCTCACATGGCTGTTGGCAGGAGTCTTTGGTTCTTCTCAGGCTATTGGACAAGGGCCTCAGATTCTTACCACCTGGGTTCCCCAGAGACCTGCTGTTCCATGACAACCGTCTTGCCCGAGAAGGAGAGCTTAGGAAAACAGAGAATGGGTAAGGGGATGACTAAGATGGAAGCATCAGAGTCTTCGACAACCTGATCTTGAAAGAGACCATCCCTTCTGCCCGTGGTTGCACAGACCCAGCCCGGCACAATGTGGGAGGTGGGGATTACCCAGCATGTGAATAACAGGAAGTGGGGTTTCTTGGGTGCCATCTGGGAAGCCAGCCACCACAGACTTATCGTTGACTTGAACTGCCAAGTAAAAACATGGTCACTTTTTTTTTTATGAAAATAATCAGGTACTTGATCCACTTGTGGAAATGCTTCTCACCCACTATGATATCAAAATCATTATTTGTTTTTGTTTTTATGCTGCTGTGAGCCTTCTGGATTTTCTTCAGTGTTGAATCATTCTAGTTCATTTTAAATGGCTTTGTTATGGAGTTATTTTGTTGTTTTGTAAAATTTTTTACTTAATAAATGCTCATGTATTTATTATAATTTATTAAGCATTGTGTTAAGCACTCTACAAATATATTTATTTAATTCTTATAACGAATCATTGCAGTACATGGCATTATCATTTGCATTGTATAGATGGGGAAACTGAGACATAGAAAAGTTAAGATACTCATTCAAGGTTATGCATTTAGTAACTTGTGGATTTAGTATTTGATTAAGTGGAACCTGGCACTAATCTCTGCTATTTCTTTTTCTAGTTCTCCATCATCATTTTTATGTGTTTCATGAAATTCTGTACCTTCTTAAGACATGCATTTATAATTCATTATCAATGAGCACTATAATTGCATGAAATATTATAAACTTCAAAGAATCAACTAAAGACTGTCAAATAATCTGAAAGAAACTGAGAAAGATGCTGGTGTTGAGGTGGGGGAAATGTTTGAATGGATATTCATTTTATGAGATTAGTTCTTTAATGATTGTTTCCATGACATGAGGAATCGTTCCCTCACCACTTCCTGACTGCAGACTTTCAAAGTAATAAATACATTGATAAGAAAGGATCTTGTCCATTACCTCTAATCCTCACAAAAACCCAGCAAGGTAGGAATTATCCTCACTTTCCAAATGAGGAAACTGACTTTTATAGTGATTAAGGAATTTATTCAAGACCCTGAGCAGTGAGTGGCCATGGGAGGGTGGAAATTGAGCTGTCCAACTTCAGAGTCCAGGATGCTTTTTGAGCCAGCCCAACCTGCCCTCTGTTACTCCAAGGCATAGTGTGGTGGTTTTCTATTATTATCCTATTTTGTTTTGGCTTTTCTTTATTGATCATACCATTTGTGGCCCACTATTCACTTTCCATTTTCTAATGTAACTTATGGGAAAGTATGACACCTGGTAATATACCTGAGTCAGTGTATTGACTCTGAATTGAAGAGGATTTTTTCCTTTTTAATTTCTCTCCATATATTATGGGAAGAGACCTTATTCCTCCAGGCAATTAATTAGTTACTGCCTGGATTAAAAGATTTAATTATCTTTGGTCTTAGATTTTACACTGAAAACTTTACTAATGACCTCCCCTTTGGTTATTGCTGTTGATTGGGTTCACACAGTCATTGCAATCGTCCTTAACCTCTTGTATTGGCAACGTTTCACAGGGACTACATAAATCTTGATATAAAAATGTGTTACATAAATTTCTACGTCTGAGACTTTCAAATTTCCTTTCTGGCCAAAGAGAAGAAATGCTGTCTGAACAGCCACCACTAATGGGCAGGATTGGTCAGGCATTCGAAATAGCTCATTCCAGCTTCTCAGCTGGAGGGAAAAGGCTGTAACAGAGGCTGCCAAAAATGTAGGAGAACAAAGGAGAACGTGGTACTCCACTGACCTGCTTCTCACGAGGACAGAAAATGCAGTAACTCTTGAAACCTGTATAACCTTATTGACAAATATTGCCCCAATAAATTCAATAAAATTAAAAAAACAAAAACTTATAGAAAGGCCACAAAGTATGCCTTCTTATTCCAAACAGTT